ATATTAATGTCGTACGTACAAGAAAACCTAGATTTCAACCTCAAACTAGTCCCTAAAATTACTAAATACTAAATGGATGTTACTTTGAGCTCTGCGAAAACAGTTATAAATCATTTGAAAACACTTCATACAACAGAATTTATGACACTACGTGCATGTCGTATCTGATGCTATTAAATCAAACGTTTCGGACACTTCCCGCTCCCTTTTCCCCCATTACAACTTATTTTGAACAATTTTCATTCCTGCCTCCCTTTTATGGCCCTATCACTTTCATTATACAACAGTTTTCTGTCATATTCACTATATATGTCCTCTTAATCATGAAAAATACAAAAACGGGACAAAGTAATGATTTCAGTGGAAATACAGGTCCAATATATTTATTTATGCTCGCCGTGTAGCACGCGCGCCGCCACGGCAAAAGTGCGCGGTCCGGAAAGGGTTAAAGTACTTGGTCGTTAGTTCTTCAGTTCCACCAATTTTTTGAAAACTAATACTTGAGGCTTATTCAATGCTCTGATCACGAAAATGGTGCTGGAGTGAAAAACTATTATGTGTAATGTCGCACTATGTGACCACTTACTGAATGCACTTCGTAAGTAGATTTTGGTGGAAAACACATGGTGTTGCTGCTAAAAGGTGTGTGGTGCTCTAACTGCTTGTCTAGGCGGAATACCAGTCCCAAAGGGGACCTAATGGAAACAAAAGGCGCATTCGATTGGTGTGAAAATGCCTCATTCGCGCACTGCGTACGTTTTGTGCCCAAGGTCAAAGTTTGGAAAGGGTTCCCTAACCCTTTCGGGAGAAATCACTCGTTCCCGACCGGGTACCGCTTCGCACGGCATCCGGCCGGCATGGAGCAAGTCTCAGACGGCAGATACACAGAGAGTTTCCCTGAAAAGTGATAGGCCCTGATACGTACCCTTCATCGGGTCTTGCTCCATGCAGGCCAGAGGCCGTACGCAGCAGTGCTTGGCCTAGGATGGAGGATTGTCTTTGGGCAGCTACACAGCCCCAGCCGATTTTTTTCCCGGTCGGGTATGGGGGCCTCCCAGTCAGGGAGTGCTACAACCACATATCTGGCAAAAAAACCTCTTCGTATTTTTGCTTGTCTGGATATAAGAGAAATAAGGTAACAGCATCGCATGTATCTCGCTCTCAACGGCCATTTCCACCTACAATCGTTCGCTTTTTACGCAAAAGTGAATAACTAGTATAGCGCAACCCTTTCCCTCATTAGCTATTAAGGCCACGATGAACTCAGAAATCTACTGGAGAAAGTAAAAATAATGACTAAAAGAAAGAAGTGAATAGTGAACCGGTATTGGTGGCACGTAAGTTGCTGTGGCCCAGCTTTTATGTCGAAAGGGGAGGGTATTAGGGAGCATTTAAAATTTCCGATGGGGTGTCTGTACCGAAAATGGGGAACGGCACGAAAGTGTTTGCGTCACCTACGTCCGGATTTTACAAGGAAAGGAGGCTTCAGGCGTGTCTGAAAGCGATGTCGAAGAGCATCCCTCCCTTACCAAAACTGAGGACATTGTAGACGGCAGGAACTATGGCTCCGCTTGCCTGCGACCGTTACTTTAAAGGAAGCGGTCACGCTGGCTTCCACGCTGGATTTGCTACCCTCGCGTTATCAATCGATAAGGTGTGAGGCAGTAATTGTTGGACGAGTGTAAGCCCATGGAAGATATGATACGATGAGATAAGAAGGTGCGGCTGCTTGATAAGAGGTGCACTCCAGAATGAAAACGGGACGATAACGATAACGGTAT